TGATATTAAATATGAATTGTTTCTGTAAAACTTAGTATGCAAGGAAAATGGATGCAGAGAGTTTGTAACACTGGTGGGTTCCACATACCTTCCTGCTATCCCACTTCCAAAAGACTACATATAATACACTTAGATATTTAGATACTCAAGTCCCATTTTAAAATATGGGAGCCCTAGCTGGATGGCTCAGTTAATTGGAGCATCATCTCCTGCACCAAAGAGTTGCAGGTTCAATCCCTGTCAGGGCCAGTAAGGGAGGCAGCCGATTGCTGTTTCTCTTTCACATTGATGTTTCTCTCTCTCACCCTCAGGTGAGGATTAAAAAACATATTTTTTAAAAAGGATATTTCTGACACATCATAACCAGAGTGGAATTATACTGTGTCGGGGAAGAGCTTAAATTCAGCAGTAGAAAGACCAGACTTCCGTCTAACTGACGGAACAGACCATTTCCTTTGTAGTTAGTGCACTTAGTAAATTCCAGGACATTGGTGTAGAATGCATCTAAGGTTCTTTGCCATTTTGAGAGGCTATGGCCTACTCTAGCAATGGCAAATGGTTCTTTTGAAAGTATGTTTGGAAGGCAATATAATTTGTAATATTCATCCTTTATTTTCAGAGTGTAGGTAATGAATACCTCAGATTGTATTTTATTCAATCTGATCAAATGTGACCACTACTTCCCTTAAGTGAATTTTGAAGTCTAGTGGTACAAAATCTCTCTCTTTTCCACTGTGCTGGGTAAAAAGAAGCAAGAGTATGTGTGTCCCAGAGAACTCCAAGCTTTTTTCTGTTCTGCCACTTTACATTATACTTGATTTTTTTAAAAATGGATTTTGTTTTTTAGAACAGCTGCAGAAAAAATTAGGAAGACAGTACAGAAGTTCCCATATACCTTGCACCCAGCTTCCCCTGTTAACATCTTACATTAGTATGCTACATTTGTTACAGTTAAGGAGCCAATATTGACCCACTTTTTCAATAAAGATTTTAAAGTTTTTACCTAATGTTTTTTTTCTGGTCCAGGATGCCGCATTACTATTTGTTGTTAGGTCTCCTTAGGTTCCTCTTGGCTGTGATGGTTTCTCAGACTTGTTTTTGATGACAATATTGAGGAGTTCAGTTTACATATTTTATAGAATGTTCCTCCTTTGGAATTTATGTTGTGTTTTTATAATGACTTTAAAAAAATTTTATTGATTGATTTGAGAGAGAAACATTGATTTGTTGTTCCAATTATTTATACATTTTTGGTTGATTCTTATATATGCCCTAAGGACCGAATCTACAACCTTGGGGTATCGAGACAACTGAGCCACATGGCAGAGCCGTTGCGTTTTAAGATTAGACTGTGATTAATGAGTTTTGGGGAGGAAGACCACATAAGTGAGTGCCATTTCCATCGCATCATTATGAAGGCCATGGCCTGTTGATACTGACCTTGATCACATGGCTGAGATAGTGTCATTTTCTCCATTCTAAAGCTACTTTCCCCCCCTCTTCCTCCTCTTCATACTCTCTCTACTCTTTGGAAGGAGGTCACAGCCCACCTTTGAGTGGCTAATTATGCTCCCATTTACCCTAGTAGATTGAAAGAGGAAATGGGAATCTATTTTATTACTTCTTAGCCTCATGTCAACAGACCTGTGAGTGAATATGCTTTCTTTTTGTATATTTTTAGAATTCCCACCCTCTTTCCCCTTACCCATTTTTCAATACAACAATTATATATTGGAAGAATTCTAATGAATACTCACACCTACTCCCTGAATGCTAATTGTGTGCAAAGCAGAGCGATGATTTTATTTTTATTTTTTTTTACAGTTTACTGCCCTACTGCCTGGTACAATTAAGTTTTCAAATATTTATTTCAATTAGCCAATTTAAATTAGTCTGAAATAAGGTTTATTTTTATTATTATTTTTAACTTTAGTAGTCCTAGGTTATAGACAACAAATGATGTTAATTCAATTTCTGCAATTAGCCTTTGAGTAACTTTACACTAGTTTTGTCAAAGAGGCAAAAACAAATTATGTACCTTTTATATGAGGCCTAATATAATTAATTTTTAA